GTATGAACGGAGGCTCGCTCATAAAGACGCCTTCGCAAACGTTCGACGGCTGGAGCCACCACTCCAGATGACAACGTAGCTGCGCCGAAAGTGGAACCAGGAGGTTGGGAAACTCCAGGTGGGGGATACAGGAATCTCTGCAGCAGACGAAGTTGAAGACCACATCGGCGAGTCAGGTCTTGGGCCGATGTCAACAGACCGAGGACTTCCTGCCACGTGTGCACCGACGCGGGGGCATGTAGAAGCGTCAGAACGCTGCTGACAATCTTGTCCTGATGGTCTTGTGGTACCTTGACCAGATTGACTCCCGTCTGGAAGCGTATCCCGATGTACTGTAGATCCCGAGTTGGTACCAAGTCCGACTTTTGAAGGTTGACGATCCACCCGAGGTACCGTAGTAGACTCAGGGTGGTCGCTAACTCTCCTTGAAGGGCTTCTGTGAACTGGTGAGCTTGGAGCCCGTCGTCTAGGTAGAAGGCGACCCTGATCGCCTGCTGATCGAGCCATTCTACGACCGTCTTCATGATCCGTGTGAAAATGCACGGGGCCGTAGAAAGTCCAAACAGGACAGCCGCCCACTGATATTGAATACCTTGGTATTTGAATCAAAGGTACTTCTGGAACTCGGAAGCTATTGGTACATGGAGATACGCGTCCTGAAGGTCTATCGAGACGAGGAAGTCGTTCGGTAATATCATCCGACGCAGAGAGCTGAGGGATATCATGGTGAATGTGTCGGGTTGTCGGAGGTATGTTGCGTTGAACTTTTTGAAATGGAAAATAAGCCGCATCTTTATGGAGTTTTTCTTGGGTACTAGAAAGATGGGCGAGTAGTACTCCGGCGATGGTGTCGATGTCCCTAGGCGAAGTACGGACGCCTTTTCCACCAACGAATCGATGGCCTCCGTCAGCCGATCCGTTGGTGGAGTGTGGAATGTCGGGGATGACGGCAGTGGTGGCGTCGATCTCAGGCGTGGGGCGTAGCCTGTTGTCAAAATGTTCTGAACGTAAAGGTCGTTGAGGAAAGCCCACTTGTGGGCTTAGTGATGAAGTCTCCCCCCTACCGGTAGCACGTCTAAAGGTAGTGTCACTCGACCTGTCGTCCCGACTTGAACGGGAACGACTTCTGTGTCCACTGTCGTCCCGCACGACATCCCTATCGTCATTGGTAGAACGAGATGTGGACCGACTGGGGACCGTAGTCCCCTCATGGTCCTCATCACCACCCGGTCCCGTCGTAACAGGGGAGGCTGAGTGACGCTCTCGATCAACCGATTGACGAAGATCAGTCATGCGGGTAGTATCATCAGCAGGCGAACGGTCACGTGTCTTGTCGAAAACAGAAGTTGACTGAGGCGGGTCTTTATCAACTGATTTCTTAGGTGTGGCCGACTCGCCACCCCCAGGGCCTGATGTGGAGGGTGCAGAGTCTAAGGATCCAACCGATGATCTTCTCTGCTTGTAGCGCTGGTCAGTAGCCCGCTTCGCCAACGCCCGAAGATACAAGTTAAAGTTTATTGAAGACAAGTTCTCACATTCTTTACAACGTTTATCCCACGAACACGTTGAAAACCCGTCCTTAATGATGCAGGAAGGACAATACTTGTGAGGGTCTACTTTGACACGAGGCACAAATGCCCGACATGTTGCCATGTGTATAATCACTGTCAAACAGCGAAACTCACGTTGAACACAAACAATGGATTACCAAGGATTACATTCCAGGAGTCTACAGGTAAGACATATTATTATTATTACTTTATTAGAACAACTGTAGACAAGAGAAAAGTACTAGTAGAATACAAACTAGCAATCTACCGCGAAAGACTTTCTCGAGCGACCAGCTCAGAGGCGCGCTGAGAGATTTGTGACATGTCATAGGGAGGTGCGTGCGCAACCGGATGGAAACAAGTTTAATGTTTACATTCTAGCTTCTGGCTTCCCCTTAAACGTGCGATTAGACGTGAGGGTATGAGAGATACCCATTTGTACGACTGAAACAGACTAAAACATATATTGTCATCCATTGCAAATTATCACCATGACATTTGAGTTACAATGGCCCACTTTTAAGCATTGTGGAATTATACCCCTTACCTTTCTGGCTGTACCTTTTAACTAAATTTTCGTCCTTTATAACAAGTTATTTATGTAATGTTATATATAAGCTTACAACTCCATTTGAAATATAATTATATAATATTAACATGTCGTGCAGTAATTTTATCGATGTATGTTTAAAAATGACGAAATTTGCAGCTACAAGTGTACATTTACAGTACTGAATGCAACTTCTAATCACAATGAAATTTCACATCAGGCATTAAAACAGCACGTAATCCATGTGTACACAAAGCCAAATGTGTGTACCTATAGGCAAACTCACTAATGCAATTAAGCTAAAGACACACTTAAAAATGTCAGTGAGACAGAATCTTAAGGAACAGACAAAATGACAATTCATGGTAAGGATAGAGAGGGGATCGTCATTATCCCATGTTGCCTAAATGTTTGGCAAATCTAATAGTGTAATTTCTTGACTGTGGGACAAGTACCGCCAAATGTGTGTGGTTGCAATGACACCTGCATGGGTGTGGCAGGCCTTAAAAAACAACACATAGCCAAGATCGTCTTCTCAGTAGATTGAATCTTGCTGAATAGAGAATTCCGTACAATAACAGAAAAGCGAAATTCAACATCTTCTGTTAAAAACCGGCTGTATGCAGCCCGCCTGCAAGCAAAGCGTCCTGTGAAGGGTTTGACCCTAACAACTTACCAAGTAATGCCTATCAAACAATTAAGCTTATCATAGGCCTCAAAGACTAGGGTGGGCTAGGCATCACCAGGGACGGGCTGTGTGCCAATGGAGTTACACCATGTACAAAGAAATCAAGGTTGGCCTTTGATTCACAAATGGCAGAAAATGTAGTTGACATCGTAGCCGCGAGCGGTATGCCATGGCAACTATTCTAGACCATGATCAGTATGGGGGCAGTGGTGTCATGATGTTGGGTGGTATCACACATGACTGGCAAAGTGATTTGGTTATTATACCCCGCGACAAAGTGGGGTGTCGGATATAGGAATGGAGAAAAAAATATTTACACTAGAAAAACAAAAAATTTAAACACTGATTATACACAATCTTAATAGAGTTTAAAAAATGGTGTCTCAAATTCATTTTTTTACAGAGTTATGGCCTTGCTCCATGCTTTTCATCTGAGTGAATAATGTCTGCACTCGGTACAAGTTTTCTCAGAAACTCCTGAAGTTAAATGAATGAAAGATTGCATGGATATCTAGGAGATACTCGTCAAGACTGAGTCTGAAAATTGGTGCAATTGTGAATACACAGTTACAGCCCTTGATCCATGGTATTTTACAAAGTGCATACATGTAGTGTCTGCAATGGGGACATATTTTCTCAGAAACTACTGAACTTAGCTTATCAAAGAGGTATTGATCAAGACTGAGATAAGAGAATTGGTGCCATAAATGATTTTTTCCAGAGAAGGGGCTTTTTGTGTATTAATTTCACATTTAATCATATTTTTTTTCTGATGACATAAAGCGACCCTAGTGCCTATCTATTTCTAAGGCTTTATAGGACTCTTTTTCTATAGTTTGTATTCACTATTATATGAACAAACAAAATTCTAATGTGCCCCATGGCGGGGGATAGTGATAATGCTGTTTTCTTGTTTTGAATGGACATTTGAAAGGCCTGCTATATGTTGACGAAATTTTGCATCCTGTCATTGTTCTATTTGCTAATATTATTGGCAGAAAGTTTGAACTGAAAGATGATAATGCCAGACCATATTGTGCCTGATTATCTAAAACGAGAAGGCATAATACGGACGTTGGACTAGCTCGCTAAGTCCCCTACATGTCCCAAATAGAGCATCTTGGGGATGTTCTCGGGCAGAGAGTTTGGGGAAGCTTTTTAGGCAGAATGTCAGGCAATACCAAAGGCAACCATACGCAAGTTAATCAACATTGTGCCATCAAGGTGTGGTGCATGTATCACCCACCATGCAGGACACACCACATATTGATCTACACAGATGAAATTCATTTTACAGACATTTATCATCATTACACCTTCACTATCATTTAATCCTTTCACTTATTTTTTGTTTGTAGTATATTTATCTGGCATTGCTGCAATACAATCCCAAGGGAACTCGAAATTTATTGAAATCTTCCTAGCTAGAATACATGCATCATGATTGATTTTCTTCGCTCAATGAGAAAGTCACATTTAGCATGAAAATTCTGCAGACAAGTGAGTGATTGATCAGGCTGAGTTATTCTCTTGTTAACGACTTGGTTAATACATTCCAACCAGCAATTAGACAACTAAGATGGCTGCTATGTTGTCTTCCTACCTCTCAAATTAAGGAGTTCAGTAAATTCTCTACCTTCACAATAAAGAACTCTATGATTTGACACTGCTGTAGTCAATGAGCCTTATGGGAAATCAGCTGCCTGTCCCGGCTAATAACTGGAAAAGTGAATGCATGGGAACTTTTTCATGATCACCGGGGAAGTAACCTTCTTGTGATTAGTATATCAATAATGTCAGCATTCCAATGATAGGAGAAAAGAGTTAGTTGTGTATTGCTTTGTAATAACACAAAGTTAATATCTTGTAATATAATATTATGAATATTAATGAGAAGATTTGATCTTTTCATTATTAGATTACAAACAGATAATAACAAAATGTGATTAAAATGCTATTATGTATATTAGGTTTTAAGACATAAATGGCAGTGTTCTCCTGCTCCATACAATATAATCATTCCAACAGCCATTGTTCTTTGTATGATGTATGTTACCTTGATGCTCATGCCTTTTTCACCAATTGTATCTGTGACACAGTCATGGAGTATAATGTATCAGTATTGGCCAGGAGACACCAGCTCAGCCGTATCCTGCACCACAAGAGTTCCATTTCTGTGCATATTTTAAGTGTTTTAATCTGTATATTGCAGGCTTGCTTGACTTGGCCAATGCATACTGTGAACCCATTTTGAAGAATTACTGTGAGCAAATAATCAAACAAGGCATCACAGTGGAAGATGTTGCTATGTTGTATGCAGCTGCCATCAAATTTGAAGCCAAGGTTTGTGGACGTTTAGGAATGATTGATATTTAGCCAGCCTTGACATAGTGAATGCGAGCACATATGCACAAATTGTAATTTATTTTCTGGCTGTGAAGAGGCAAGGTAACAATGTGTTCAAGTGTCTTCTTCTGAAAGTATCAGACATCATGTGGTCAAGTATTTGGAAGATGCTTAATGTTTTCACAATATGGTGAGGTTTTCATTTAAAAAAAGTCAAAATGACTGCCATGGCAAAAGAGGCCATTTGATGTGAGATGCTTCATACTTAGACTTTTTCTTTAAAATTAAAACATAATCATTTAATATTGTATGAATAACATATTCAATTATTTGGTACTCACGTCAACATGCTTTTGGAGGAAATCCAATATCTGATAATGATAATTAATGTGTTTGCATTACATTGAAAGTATGGATCATCTGATGATTGTGTGACTAGTGTCAACATCAGATGAACTGCTGGTCCCCTGGATTCATTGTGCTGACTGTAACGGTGCTACAGGGTAAATGCATTACCATGACAACACTCACAACTAAAGATCATGTTCTTTTCTTTTTTAATGCTGTAATTATTTAAGGATGAACAGCACCATAACACAACAGTTTCAGTAAACATAACAGTACTGTTACGTAAATATGAAATTGACATGGCATAATTATTAGTTGCAAGATTCTTTCAGAATCCAAAAATGATGTTGATATTTGTTTATAAGTTTGCTTTTTACAGGTAGATATATATACAAGAAGCACTATGTACCAGGTCAGCACATGCTGGCAGAGGTTCTTGTGTTGGTGCCCCAGCTTGGCTAAGGGTGATGCCATCTTATCCTAGTCTCTGGACCAAGGCTAACATAGCCAAGGTCATAAATATGAACAACAACAACAATTATATTATGAGAAGTGACATAATAATGCGTTTTACCAACTAAATGTTTTTAAACAAAATGTGTGTGCGTGTCCCGAAATATATTTTTGCATTAAACGTTGTGTCCGAGCCGAGAATTCAAGGCTAGGAAAGCCGAGATGTCATTTGATTTACATTACACGCGATCGCATGAAACGATGGAAATAATAACTTAGATGTAAGTTTGATTACTTTTAGATATATTTTTGTTGATTTTATTTATCACTTTGTATATTATATTTAAAGATTTGCTTAAAACGTCTTTATTTTGCTCTTTGACATGTTCGATGCGGACCCGTTGTCGAAATGTGTGTCCGAGAATTTTATTTTCAATAACATCGCAGGAAATAGTGAATAATTTTTTAATTTATCGTTAAAAAATGATAAATTGAAATGGAATACGTATTTAAGACATTGTGAAATGTGACAGATTTAATAAATGAATGATAGTACAGGTAGATCTAGGTCCATAAAAATATATACTATTTTGACGTGACGTGAGATAAACACATATTGATGATTTGAGATTTGCCGAGCACGCTCCCCCGCCTCGGCCTCGGTTAAACGTCTATAACGCCCACCAATTAATTGGACCCAATTGGTAGCGTTGTAGCGAGGGACCACTGTACTAGATAGTCACATGCCCTTTTATCAAGCATCCCTAGGCGATAGGTTAGAATACTAACTCACTTTTAATGACTACGGCAGAGTAATCAAAGCTACTGAAGATCGTAGTAGCTATTCTATTGACAGTATGTCACTGGAGTATGATATGATAACAGATCCTGAATTAGCCAGAGAAATTCGTAACCAGTATACCGGAAGTTAAGCCATTTTGTACGATCGAATGCTTCGACACCAAAAGATCACCAGGAACAAAAGAGATATGACGTGGAATATCAACCTAATCGTCCCAGCGAGATCGTTGAAGGGTATTTTAATGTTGTTCGAGGACCCCTCTGAAGCATTTGCAAGAGATACCGAGAAGTTCTACAACCCCAAGATTACAAAAGTAGAATTGACTATCGAGGGCGTGCCTAATCAACTATATAGTCAAGGCATGCGAGCATATCAACAGTGGGATGAGATTAAAAACTCCCTTCTATAAAACGAAGCCCAGAAGTTAACGCAGTCATGAAAGATCTGTCTCTCGGGGATGTATCGATTGCTGAATTTCTTTCCACGAAGTATGCGCTATGGCTCGACATGCGAACCAAGACGATGACCAACTACACGGTAGTGGGTGGAAATAGAAAATGCCAGTGAGGGTGTTACTATACAGGAAATGAAGCACCAGGAAGCGGCTGGTAAATTAAACACATATTTGTACGTGATTATGGACGCGCAACTTAATAAACAGAATGGAAGATTCGTGCAAGCGATTTATTCATAATCTTTTACCTAAAGAACCCCAGGGTTGCGGAAAAACAGCTTTTATTCTAGATATTTTACAAAGTCATTGTCGGGACGTTTTCGATCATATTATTATTTGTGTCCGACTATAAGCATTAATAAAACATACCTATCGAGAGATTGGGTAATGAATGATCCCGGGGTGCACAGTTGATCCGGGCCATCGTTTACAAGACTGTTTATGAGTATGTCATGAAAAATACAAAGGAGAATCAACCCTTTTCATAATAGACGACTGCAGTGCGAGTAAAGAACTTACCAAAAAGAAAGATATGCTTTCCTATTTAGGCGACAATTTTTTTATTTCTTGGTTTACGGATGCGCCGCTCTTTCAAAGTCCAAATGTTAAAAAAAAAAAAAAATGAAAATTACTTTTTTTTTTATTCCCGCCGATCTTTTCGACAAAAAGTTCCAAAAAAAATAAAATTCATTTCCTTGTCGAACGTAAAGCAAAGGGAAGTCACTCTGATATTTCTTGCTGGGATCCTTCTCTAATACCATCAAAGCTTGTCAACGCAAAGCACAGTGGTGACCAGTTTAACTATTTCAACACTGTTGGCCGTTCAAAAAAACAAGTCACACCGCACGGTAGACCGTCCAAGCCACGTCAAAATAGTTTATAATTATATTAACCTACTTGTCATATCATTCATTTTTTAAATCTATCACATTTCACAATGTCTGAAATACGTATTCCATTGGATTTTATCATTTTTTTATCTATAGATTAAAAATATATTCACTTGACACTATTTCCCGCAATGTTATTGAAAATAAAATTCTCGGACACACTTCGACAACGGGTCCTCATCAAACATGTCAAATAGCAAAATAAAGACGTTTCACGCTCTGAAACTTCTTTATTTACAAAGTAATAAAATCATCAAAAATATATCTATAAAAGTTGCCAAACTGACATCTTAGTTATTATTTCCAACTTTTCGTGCGATCGCATGTAATCGTCAGTCAAATGACATCTCGCCTTTCGTCGCCTCGATTTCTCGGCTCGGACACGATGTCTTAATGCCAAAATATATGCATAAGAAATCTTTGTCACAGCTCGAAACCTAGCTCTATGCATCCATAAAGTTCCATATTTTTAATATAGATCGTGATTTCATGCTAAAACGTTCAGAATAACATGATTTAACCCAAACCTTTCGCGAAAGTCTGAAAATTATCGTTGCTGTAATTTGATTAGCTGCCTTAGGTCACGTGCTTAAATTTGACCAATCACGAACCTTGTAGCAGATTTTGTCGGTGAAACAATATAAGTTTTTTTAATGTATACTGACATGGCAGGACGTATGTGTTATTCATACGAAGCTTTGAAAACCGAGGTATTTCCTCATGTCAGTGAGCTGACAGCCACTATCATCGGGAAATGGGTGATGACAGATATTATTTGTAATTCTTTTTAAAATAATGTTCCAACAACGTAAACAAATGAAAATTAAAAAGAAATAGGTAAGTGGATTTTATGAATTCTTATATTTGCCGAAAAAATTGTTAGATTTGCGCTTAATTTGGACGTTATGAATGTTTTAGCTTACATTATTATTTATTTAAAACAAACTTTATTTAGTTGTTCATGAATTATTTAAATAATGAAATACACATAACTTTCATATTTATAAAGAATAGGATTAATTAGATCTTTCAAACAGTGTATGGCCAAACATGTAGTAGCAAAGATGTTAATTTCAGCAGATAATTCCTTGATAAATGTTGGTTTCATCTATCACACAACAGTCTCTGGGAACTTGGTGTCACAGCAGGAATCTTCTGGTTGGCTGGTGTTGAAAGAGTTAAACGTTGCCCATGCTGCCAAAATAGCAGCGTCTTTCATGCATTTCCACCCATGACATGAATATTGTTATGTTGCCATCCTTGCACAAGCTGAGTGCCAGGGATATAATAAAATGTTCTTGAAAAATTGAGTTATTTTACTTTTATTACGCCAGGATATTTTTTTTCATACCTACCTAACTTTTTAGGACAAAATTCAGGTAAAAAGAATGTGAGAGGCTTTTCTTTTTTTTTTTTTTAATTGGCCTGCCTCACTTTTGAAATGAGTTTGAAATCCGTAAACCAAGAAATAAAAAAAGTGTCGCCTTAGCATTCTCCGACGGCACACTCAGCATAGCGTTTGGGTACTTACTCAAAAATACAACTCTGTCTTGAAAGATCTCAGAGAGCAGACCAAATGGGTTGCCCTGTTTCATTGTAAAGACCGAGATTCATTTGAGGAATGTCTACGAGAAAATGATGTTATTTATACCAAGCTCGAGCTAGATAAAGTCAGAAAACTGTGAGCAGAAATGAAGGACTGTCAACTTGAATTAAAAACAGATCAACCAGCTGCTTATGCAATTGCTTAGCAAAAAATAGCAAAAATATAGCAAAAATATAGCAAAAATAGCAACTGCTAAGCAAAATTATAGCAACTGCTTAGCAAAATATAGCAACTGCTTGGGAAAATATAGCAACTGCTTAGCAAAATATAGCAAAATATAGCAAATTTAGCAAAAATATAGCAAAAATACGATAAATTAAACAGCGGTTATTATGTAATAATGTGGTTTGAAATCCTCATTCTTTCACAACAGTTAATTATTTCAGGCTGTATTGGATATGTCATATTTTATTATGTTATACTTAAATATCTCCTTAGGTATTA